GATGCTCACGTCCCTGAATATTTGCATAAAACGGGGTGTCAGAATTTTTAGAGTTAATATGGTTGTGACTCGGCAGAGTTTGTGCTCAACTCTGGTGTTCATTTGTAATGACTCATGTGAAATGACTTAAGAGAAACAAACAAAAAGAGCCTGCGTTTCTAGGTGTGCATGGATTCCTCTGGTATAATTAACGTTTATGCTTGCTTGAGGAGTCATTTGGTACTGCTGTTTGCAGTTTGGGGGCTGTAAAGTATTTATTTCCACTCCTTCACCTTGATTACATTGTCTTTTCCGTATATTTGAGTGAAGTGTGTCGAGCTGTGCATAGCTATTACTTACTCTCAGTTGCTAGCACTGAGTACTTACGCAGAGGTGGTCGGATGTCCTCAGTGAAACGAGGATGGTACTGTGCTGTTTAGTCCTTGCTTCCTATCCCACGCTGACGACATTAAATTTAAATGTTCTCACATTTTAAGCCGTGAGTCATTCAGAGGTGTAGTGTAGGTTGTTAAGACTGCCTGAGTGAGGAAAACTACTTAAATATAGTGTTTCTAAGCTCTTTTTAATACTGCAGGTGCCAAGCTGAAGACTTGAGCTCCATCCTGGTGGCAGGCTGATGCAAAAGGAGCCAGAGCCCGAGTCTGGCTGCAGCTCTGCCTGATGCGGGTGGCGTGTCAAGGCAAGAGGCAACAGCTGAACTTTTTCATGGTGCTACTGCTCTCTGATGACAGATTGTCCTGCCTCAAGCAGGAGCTGGGCCTGGAATGGCTCCAGAATTAGGAAACCCTAAGCGGGAGATCTCCGCCCATATTCTTCCAGTGTGTTGGTTGTGTATTTCTCCCTGGAGCTATGGCTCCAGTGGCAGCTTAGACTGATTTCCCTGCGCAGTGGTGCTGAAAGGGGAATCCCTGCCCTGTCCCCACACGCTCCCACCGCCTCCCTCGTGTCAGCGGCAGCGGTCCTGCGGCTGCTTGTCCTGAGGCACGGGTGTTCACAACTGGGCAGCCAAGTAAACTCTTGGCAAAGATTCGAAGTACGCTTACGGCATTCATGTCACCCTATACAAATTTATCTTACTGTTTCGGCTGGCTGCTCCTGCAAGGTCCCGAGCGCTCAGCACCTTGAGGGATGGGGAATCTAAACTTCATTTTATCCCCCAGGAAATATGTTAGTGATGGGGACCTGGAAGCTAGCAGGACTCTTCTCTTTGGGACCCTGCGCTCCCCCGGGGTTGTAAGGAAAGCTTTTGGTGTTGGCACCTGCTGCACAAAGGCTTAATGGGCTGCTAAAATTGTACTGGGAATGTGAAATTAAAAGCTGATGTGCTGCTTCCATAACTATAACAAACTTAATGTTGAACTTGTGACTTTTAATTAATGTACTCAAACAACAGTCTTTGCCACAGATGGTATTCTAAGTGAATTCCTGGTGAGTTAGCCTGTGTTACCAGGCTGGGGTCAATTTAAATGCAAGCTGCAGCCTTCCCGTCTTGCACCAGTTTTTCTTCATCTGATGCTTTTTTGGAGATAAGCACTGAACCATATCCTGTGCACTGATTTCCTGCCCAATTCAAGCCATGTTTGTGTGTGCAATCCTGACCTGAATAATGCCTTACTGCTTAGCTGTGATAGTTTTTTGAGACTTTTGTGCCTATTGGGTGATCCTATGTGTCATTCCTGCATGAAGTTCCTAAATGCGATAATTATTTTGGTAAGAATTTGTGCTTATAGTGCATCAAAGATAAATTTACAAGCAAGAGAAAGCATACAAGAAAGTCTAAGCAAACGAGATACAGAAGAGGGAGGAAGAAATGATGATTGTGGATGATGCAACCTCCCTATAATCGCAACTCAGGTCTCTGCTCTACTGACTTAATGCTCCAGTGCAATTTAGCCTGGCAACTCTGTAATAAGAGTGTAATTTATGATCCTCCGCCTAGTCTAAGCACTTCTCATTCCTTGAGTAAGAATTTATCTCTGTAATTGGAGTCCAGGTCTTTTCCCATGTGGCATCACACTTTCCAGCAGTTTATTTAAAAAATCTTATGGACATGATCCATTGCTGTATAGAAAATTCAGAGCTCTTGTTTGTGTTCTATGCAAGTCGGTGATAGGTCTCATCTCACTCTTCTTCTATGCTAGAGCAGGAGGATTCGTATAGCAGAGCTAACATTTTGCAATGAGCTCTTCTGTACTTGGAGGAGAGATTTTTGCTCTCTGTGCGCGGGGAGAGAACATCATTTTCCCTGGTGAAAAAGTTTGTCTTTACATTGAATGGCCACAGCGCCGTTACCATGTCCAGAAGGAGCAGAAGAACTTTATGTGCTCCCCTCTTCATGAAAACATAGGAATTTGGGTTTCATCCTTGTAAGTTTGGGGAAGATTCAGGCTTTTTACTAATGACTCGTAATGGCCTTACCTGGAATTCTGCATGCAGAGCTCAAGACCTTAGCTCATATTTGCTGCTGAAGAGGAGAGATTTTGCAGCAGCCTCTCGTCACCAGATGCAAGATAAATCTCTCAGTAGAGATATGGTTTTTGGAAGATGTATCACATAATTTTATTCCATTCCATTATATTTTCTGTTTTGAACTGTAGCATGCAATAGTTAAAAGAAAAACCTCTAGCTGTTGGTTTTCAAGTAAGATACATTGGAAAGTTTTGTTCCAGGGGGCTGCTGGAAGTGGGAGGAGGAAATCCTGCTTACTGAAGGAGAGCAGCATAGAAGTGCCTTAGGAGGAGAGCTTCAAGCTATCTGCTGTGGATTTGGTATCATTGTACAGATGGGGACTTTTGAGTTTTGTCATCAGGTTTTTTCTGCTCTCTCTCCCTTACCCTCCAGTTCTGGAATGGTACCCATGAACAAACAAGGAAGCATTAAAAGAACTGTGAAGAAGGAAAACAAGACAGAGGATGAGGAAAATGGCTCTGGCTTCCCTGTAATCACGACTGAAGTTGCATCTAAGCATATTTGTTTCCTTGAGTGATGCGAACATCATCCTGTCATTGGGGTCCTGCTTCATTTTATTATGGGACTCCTATAGCTGGCTAATGAAGATGATTACCCTGTAATTAGGCTGTGTGCCTTCCCCCTCTGAACGTATTTGGAATATGATGCACGGCACCTTCAGTCACGTTCCTCCCTGTGGTGAAGGTAGAGATCTCTGCTCTTGCAGTTTTGTGCCTCTGACAGTCCAGTTGGTGAGACATGTCTGGAGTTAGGGTGCTCTTCTAGAGCTTGATATTTTGCCCAGGGAAAAACCTTTTAATTCAGAAGATAATCTGTGTCCTTCTGTCCTGCCTTAAAGTTGGTTTTGTTTTTTTTACCTTGACAAAGATTTGAAACAAATGCCCTGAGATGTATGAGACAGACCCTTTGCCACTTGGAAACACTGTGGCCAGGGTCTGTCTTATTTCCCCTTAGTTTCACGCTTCCCTAGAACTCCATCTGGTTTTATTTTAGGAAATAGTTTCCTCTTTAAAAAATGTCCCTGAGAATATGACTTGAAACGCAAGTCTCAAGCTTGTAATAATCTGTTTCCCTAACCATTTTCACACTGGAACGGAGGCCAGTCACGTATGTATAACATGAAGAGAAGAACCCTGATGCTGTGCATGCATAAATCACTTTCCTTGAAGTGCCATTTCCTATGGGCAGAGCACATAGATACCAGAAAGGAAGAGATTAATTTGCATCTCACAGAAGAAGAAAGCTCATTCAAAGCTAGTTTCAAGTTAACATAATCTAACTCCTTGTTACCAACTACATTGTAAGCACAGGGGGGAGAAAATAGGCAAAAGTTTGGGAACTAGCAAGTCATCCTGAAAGCTGTCCACCTTGAACAGCCTTGAGGTCCAGACCTTGTTTTAGTGGTTGCACTCAAGAAACTTTGCTATTCATTCCATTTTATAGCTATTTTAATGGTATTTGTGATGTTTCACAGGATTTTTTTTGTATTTACTGTATTCAATGGGTATGAACAGATAAATACAATGACAGTTTTATGTAGACTTTCCTTTGTCAAGTGTTAATTATGTATGATGTTAGTTTACAAGTGAAGTATGTTATAGGCACATTTTGAGGTATGATCTGAAAAAAAATAACAGTGAACAGTGAGTACTTACAGGGGAAATTGTAAGACACAAAACATGTTGCGTAGCCAACAAAGCAGGAGTTGCCTCATGAGGCAATCAGAGAGGTGTGAAAGGTAAATAAATGTAGGGTAGGTTTTGCAAAGAGTCAAAGTCATCTTCTTAAACTTGGCAGTGATGCAACACCCAACTAGGAAAATGTTTTCTTGTTTCTCCTGGCCTGTAGTTAAAAACATGAGTCTTGATTCCCATTCCCCTGCAGAAGCTAACATCCACAAGTTGCTGTGAGTGGCAGTGCTTCTTTGCTCCTTATTGACCTTTTAAAATAAAGTACAGAAAATAAGCGTAGCGCTGAACAATGACCAAAACTTAAACGATCTCTTTTCTAGTCCTGACACTGATTTTTCCTCCCCAAAGATCATTTTGATAAAACCATCACTATGTGGTAGGAGTATAAAAAAAAGCCAGTTATCATTACCTACTTACTCCTGCTTGATGAAACCATAAATATTCCGTATTGAATTAATGTACTTAAGTCTTTAATCCTTTATTTCACCCTCAGCAACGTTGTGGATGTCAATATAATTTACTTAATAAGGTACATAAGTCCAGAAGTTAACTCTTACTTTGGCTAAAGGAAAATTACTCCAATAAAATTTGGGGAAATTTTTCCATGATAAATATTAATTGTGATTGTATCACAAGTTACCACCTTTAGGAGTGACTGCCTGTTAACAGTGCAACTTCTTTTCTTCTGCTGTTCCCTGGGACCGTACTCGCTTTAATAGATTGCAGTGACCCTGAAATGGGAATTAATGGCTCCGTGGTCTTAGCTGCATAAGGCTTCTCTTCCAGAGCTCCGAAGAGGGACACAAGTGGGGTCTTACTTAGTCCCTAGAGCCATCAAGCATGCAATCAGTTGTGGAGTTTTTCCATGACAGTGACACTTTCTCAGATCTGCAACAGCCCAGCTTCCAAGATCCTTTTGTCATCATCAGGTAAAGTTGGTTTTGTTTTGTGCAGCATCGCTTTGGAGGCATGTCATAAAGAGCGGAGAAAGAAGAGGAACACAGCTCTTCCCTGTACTGTTTCCCTGGTGTAATGCCACGGGTCTGATGCGCTTCGGTGGTTTGTACCGAACAGGGACACCTGTGTTTGTGGGCACGGAGATTCTGCGGTGTAAGGTGCTATCGAACAAATGACTGACTAGAAAAGGCTTAAGCCTTGCTAATTGCTCCACTGCTATAAACAGAACTTTCTTGTAAAAAAACGAACTCCAAGAGTGTTTTTCTTTTGTGCTTTGCTGTTCATTTCTGCGCTACCAGAATATGTTTAATCCACGGAAACACGGGGGTAGCGATAGTCCTGCTCCTCAAAAAAGGCAATGCTCGGCTACGGCAAAGGCCGGCGTTCGGGTAAGACAGAAAGTTAGGATTGCCTTTCTCTCACTTATAAATACAGTTACTGAACTCCGTTTTCAGCGAAGGGCGGTGGGTTGCGGCCGGCTGGGCCAGGCCGAGGGCCCCGCGGAGCCGCCCCCTCGCCTCCCACTCACCCTTCGCTGCCGCGACAGCGGCTCCCAGCCGGGCACCGAGCGGACGGGCCGAGACCCCCGCGCACCCGCTGCCGCCTCCGGGGATCGCCCCGTCAAGCGGGACGGGGGGAGCGGCGCGGCGCAGCCCAGCCCAGCCCAGCCCCTCGGCGGCGGCTGGCGGGAAGGGGAAGAGGAAAAACAGACAAAACCACGCCGGCCGCCGGAGGCGACGCCCTCCGCCTGGGCTCCCCCCCCCCGGGGGGGCCAGCCAGCGCCGCCCG